TAACTAAAGAAGACTGCCACATATGCTTTTATGGCTTTTTTTAATCTGGAAGTCTAGAGTCATTCTAAAAAGACGTAAATTTAATTTATTTGGTAAAGAAACACATGAGCAGTAAGTCCCAAAATCAGATTTCCACAGGTAAAAGCATTATCTTTCGGCAATCATTCCATAGCTTTCAGCCATCTAACTCCCATAAGTGATGGGTAAACAAAAATTTTAAATAGTACTTCAAATGAAGAGATATAAGGACTGCGATAAGTTTCTCCTAGAGAATTATCATTTTCAGGACTTTCAAGAATTCTAGAATTTCCCACATCAGCCCAAAAATAACTAGGAAAGCAAATTGAATTTAGAGCTTACAGTTTTGCACTTCCAGGGCAAATTTCAGCGAAAATCCTCCAAAATGTTTGTTACAGCAGCTTTTCCAGCTAATACATAATGCATCTTAAGTACCTATGGCAGATAGAAATCGTGATCAAGCCTATTTTGAATAGAAGAACTGTACAAATAGTAAGCTCATTAAATCTAATAAAAACTCTGAGATATTTCTTTCCCCAGCCCCCCAATCCTGCCAAGATTATGAATAGCAGATGCCTGATCAAGCAAACTAAAAAGAAATAGTTCTATATGTTGCTACAGCAAGTATGAAAAATTAGTCAAATGAGAATAAGCCACAAAGAGGGTGATATCGCAAGAAGCATTATGAGTTATGACAGAAGTGGAGATCTCATGAATCTTAACTAACTAACGACTGAACTAATTAACTATTGAATAACACCCGATGAAGACCACACTACTATTAATTCCAAAAAACAAATGACCTGAGCTGCCGAAAATTTTACCAGTACACAAACAGATTATAAGATACTCAGAGAACCAATCCATATAACAGATATATGGTTAAAAGATGGCTTGTCACTTTTTGCATCTTATCAGTTTCTCAACACATCCTATATGGGTCTGTATTCTTATATTTCCAAAAGAAAATAGAGCAATTACACAAAGAATAAGCATGCTTAACTTCATTATCATGCAATGAATCTATCCTAAAGAATCCACTGAAAACAGAAAGAACTTAAGATCAATCAACCATCTAGAAAAGAGCTCTTCAATTTCCGGAAAAAAGCTTCTTCATTCTTTAATAAGGAGAGAAAGCTTCTTCATTCTTTAATAGGGAGAGAAAGCGTCTTCATGTACTTCAATCAGAGGACCTCCTCATTTCTGCTTCCTTCCCTTCAAAGTAAGCTTTTAGGCAATAAGCAGCCCTACTACAACCTCTCCAACACATATCCAAGTCTCTATAGGATAGCATCGGGACCACATGCTTTTCTAATATGTTTCATGGCATCTTTTACCTCTCCACTCTAATTTATGAGTGTAACTAAAGTTTCTATCCTACACACGTGTGGAGATCTAAAAACGTATTCCTGTGGGTCAAGTTGAACAATTGATCAAAATAGCCTCCCATCTCTTTAACACGCTTCACCTGATTTAAGTCCATACTCTCCTCTCTCAACCGTGCTAGTTTAAACATTCCTTTCTTCACTTCTCGTGCCCCTAACTTCTAGTACAAGACATCAAGGGCTTCCCCTTGAGTTTTGCTAATGGCCTTCTTCCCTTCCCTCTTAGCTCTCTATGCTCTTGAAACGCTTCGTCTGTTGTGTTTAATACTCATAGACCTGAGTCCCACGATGTTTAGGCATATTTGGTTCTATGATGGGATGAAGTGGAATGATCCATACCCATGTGGCAGACACATTCTTGCCCTATTTCAATCTATTATTAGATTTACGTTAGTACTTTGACTATCAACATAAACTTAAGGCCCTGAAGTGCCATGTCCTTGGGGGCATTGAGTTGTGGTGTGACTGTAACAGCCCAGCCCGTTAGTGATATTGTCCACTCTGGGCCTAGGCCCTCACGGGTTTAAAACGCGTCACTGGGGTCTAAGGCTTGTTAACTTATATACCCAGCATCTCTCTCGTGTTTTGCCGATGTGGGACTCTGTCTAAAGTCTGGGGTGTTACAGTGACGCTGCCAAAAATGTATGATTTGTTTCGACGGCTATAAATTTTGAGTGAACACCAGAATACTTGATCAGAAGTTCGCATTACCATGGGATCATTGGTCAGTGTCACTGTTGGACGCATTTATACCTAAAATGTTGTTGAAGTTCTGCCTGAACTCCCTGGTAGACAATTAAATAAACCTGTTTCTTGAACCTGCTATAACACTAACGTTTAACATCAAAATCCTTTATAAATGCTCATTCTAGCAGCGAATATCCATATAAAAGAAAGATCACTTGGATTCTGCCTCAACTTCCAGTTCAGACTTATTACAGTACTAATAAACAGTTAGTACCCTATTTGCACTTCATAAATACAATCCTATTGTGAGAAAGCACGGGAAATTTATACTATTGATATGTTAACTTTAATACAAGTACCCCTATTTATAACAATACACAATACCTACACTACTCATATTCCATGTAGGACTATGCTTATTTACACAACAGCCAAGTAACTAACACTCCTCCTCAAGCCGGTGCATACATATCATATGTACCTAGCTTGTTACATATATAACCAATACGAGGACCAGCGAGGGACTTGGTGAGAATATGTGCAAGCTGATCATTCGACTTCACAAACTTTGTAGCAATCTCTCCTGAGAGTATCTTTTCTCTGACCAAGTGACAGTCAATCTCAATGTGTTTAGTTCTCTCATGGAACACCGGATTTGATGCAATATAACGGGCAGCTTGATTATCGCACACAAGTGCCATCTGGCTGATTTCACTAAATTTCAACTCCTTGAACAATTGTTTGATCAAAACTAGCTCACATGTTGCCATAGTCATTGCTCGATATTCTGCTTCTGCACTAGACCCGGCAACTATTCTGTTTCTTGCTCTTTCAAGACATCAAATTGCCTCATACTAAAACACAATATCCAGACGTAGAACGTCTGTCAGAAGGTGATCCTATCCAATCAGCATCTGAGTATCCAACGATCTGCTCAAGACCTCGATCCTCAAACAATAACATTTTGCCTGGAGCCAATTTTCTATACCGAAGACTGCGGACAACTGCATCTCAATAACAATCACAGGGAGAATCCATAAACTGACTGACAACACTCACAGGAAAAGAAATGTCGGATCTAGTCACTGTAAGATAATTTAATTTACCAACGAGCTGCCTATATCTTGCAGCATCGCTAAGCGGCTCTCCCTGTCCTAGCAGAAGTTTAGAATTCAGATTCATCAGAGTATTAACAAGTCTGCAACCCATCATTCTATCTCCTCAAGAATGTCTAAAGCATATTTTCTTTTTGAAATAACAATACCTTAGCTAGACTGAGCAACCTCAATACATAGAAAGTACTTCAATCGGCCTAGATCCTTATTTTGGAAGTGCTGGAAGAGATGCTGCTTCAGATTGGTAATATCATCCCGATCATTGCCAGTAATAACAATATCGTCAACATAGACCACCAGATAAATATAAAGACTGAAGTAGAATGCCGATAAAACACAAAGTGATCAACTCACTACGAGTCATGCCAAACTCCTGGATAACTGTGCTGAACTTACCTAACCAGGCGCAAGCGACATACAAGGCCACGAGAATCCCCCTGAGCAACAAAACCAGGTGGTTGCTCCATATAAACTTTATCCTCAAGGTCACCGTGAAGAAAAGCATTCTTAATGTCCAACTGACAGAGGAAAATGACGAACCGCAGCCATGGATAGAAAAAGGCGGACTGATGTTATTTTAGCCACGGGAGAGGAAGTATCACTGTAATCGAGCCCAAATATCTGAGTGTATCTTTTGGCAACAAGACGGGCCTTAAGCCGATCAACCTGGCCATCCGAACCAACTTTGTATGCATAAACCCAACGACAACCAACACTAGTTTTACCGAAGGAAAAGGAACAAGCTCCCTAAGTACCACTCATATGTAAAGCAGACATCTCGTCAATCATAGCTTTTCGCCATCCTGGATGAGACAATGTTTCACCTGTAGACTTAGGGATGCAAACTGAGGACAAAGAAGATATACAAGCATAACGGGGGATGACAAACGATGATAAGTTAAACCGACATTATGTGGATTAGGATTAAGTGTGGGTTGTATACCTTTCCGAAGTGCAATTGGTGTATTAGGAAGAGACAAGTCCGCAGTAGGAGCAGGGTCAAGTGCAGGACGAGAATTAGTTGGGCCTGATGCTGGGCGCGGACGACGATGATAAGTCAAGAGTGGTGTTCCTATGGCTGGGGATCTAGGAAGAGCAACACTAGACTCCTCAACGGTTAGTATGGGTAAGACTTCTGCGGCTGAAGGTGGAGGAGCTATAGTAGACTCCTTAAAGGTCGGTATAGGTAAGATCTCAGATATATCATGGTGGTCAGAAGAGGTAAAGAAAGGTTTAGACACAAAAAATGTGACGTCAGCTGACATAAGGTACCAACGAAGATCAGGTGAATAACAACGATATCCCTTCTGAACATGAGAATAAGTGAATAACCAAGAAATACTCACTTGAGAGCACCGAGGAGCAAACTTATCTTTCCTAGGGGCTAAATTACAAAAGAAACATGTGTTCCCGAAAACACGAGGGGAAGAAAGTATAAGGGTGATTGGGGAAACAATACTGCATACGGAATTTGATCGTGGATGGGAGATGAAGGCATCCGATTAATAAAATAACAAGTTGTGAGAACTGCAACGCCCCTAAAAACGCAACGGAACACGAGATTCAATGAGAAGTGTGCGAGCAGTCTCAATAACCTGCCTATTCCTTTTCTCTGCAACCCCATTATGCTGAGGGGTATAAGGACAAGATGCCTGATGAATAATTCCTTGAAAAGTCATAAACTGCTGAAACTGAGAGGATAAATATTTTATGGCATTATCACTGCGAAAAGTGCAAATAGAAACACCAAATCGATTTTTGATTTCAACAAAAAAATTCTAGAATATAGAAAATAACTCAGAACGATCTTTCATTAAGAAAAGCCAAGTACATCTTTAATAACCTTTAATAAAACTAACAAAATAACGAAATCCCAAGAACTGAGTTTACTAGGACCACATATACCAGAATGAACTAAAGATAACAGACTCTACATGACTCTCAACACTACGCGGAAATGAGGCTCGGGTATGTTTCCCAAGCTGACATCACTCACAATCTAATGTAGACAAACTAGATAAACTAGGCACCATCTTCTGAAGCTTGGATAATCTCGGATGTCCTAAACGTCTGTGAATTAGGTTTGGAGGATCTGTAACTAGACATGCTGTAGAAGGATTGAGTGAGTTAAGGTAGTAAAGGCCTTCTAATTCACGACATGTGCCAATCGCATGTCCTGTACTGCGGTCCTGCATAATAAAAGAATCATCAATAAAATATATACCACAATGGAGGGCATGAGTCAAACGACTAATAGATGCAAGACTAAAAGGACAGCCAGAGGCATAAAGAACGGAATCTAGAGTGACAGAAGATAGGGAATTAGCTTGTCCAACTCCTTTTGCTTTAGTTTGACACTCATTGGCTAAAGTAACAACGGGAAAAGACTGTGAATATACAATATTCGACAAAAGTGATTTATTACCAAAAATATGATCAGAAGCGTCTGAGTCCATGACCCATGGTCCACGAGTACTAGACTGGGAAACACAAGCAAAATAATTACCAGCAACAGAAGTATCAGTCTGAGCAACCGAGGCTGCTTGTGAAGATGTATGCTTACTTGCTCGATACTGAAGGAACTCATTATATTCCCTTCAGATAAAGAAAATCCCTGGTTACCTATAGTCTCGGTCTAGGTAACAAAAGTATTTTTGAGTGGACGACCATGTAAAGAATAGCACACTTCACGGGTGTGTCCAATTTGTGACAATAAGAACACTTGGGTCTGGATCTTCCAAAACGACCTCCTCCTCGTCTATTCTCCATAGTTTGAAATGCCCCATTGTCCACTGTTTGGGATGTGAGAACAGAGGAGTCAAGTGTCTGGTGCTGCAGCAAGGCAAAGTAATCGAGAGAATAATTCATCAACTGTGGGACAGTCAGACTAGCCAAAATCTGGTCGCGTACTGAATCAAGATCATTAGGAAGTCCAGCGAGGGTAAGAACTAGAAACATCTGCTCTTGTTGCTTTTCAACATTAGCAGAAACTGGCATCAACTTCTCAAATTCCTCCATGACTGCCTGTACTTATCACAAGTAAGTAGACATCTAATTCATGTTTCTTTAAATGTCATCCGCGATATCACATCATAGAAACGAGATATGTCATTAGTGTATAAAGTGCGAGCCTTTTCCCAAACCAAATAACAGGTCTGAAATGGACGAAACAAGGACATCAACTTAGAATCAATAGATCACCACAGAATACTACATAACTGAGCATTGATCTTCACCCAAAGTGTTATGGCCTTTTCATCTCCTTTGCTAGACTTTTTGATTAGATGATCTTGAACACCTTGACCTTTACACCACAACTCGACAGACGAAGCCTAAGCTAAGTAGTTTGAACTTCCCATTAAAGGTTTCGAGGTAATCATAACACTAGAACTTCCAGAACCCGTGTTTTTAGACCCAAAAACATCAAATCCCAAAGACATCGTTAGATTAGAGAGAGGTCTAGCAAATTATTACCAAATAAGAGAAAGAATCAACTGTAATCCATTGAAACAGAAAAACATTGTAGTCGCCAAAAATTTACTGTAGCTGCCGAAAGAATTAGTGTAGTTGCCACAAAAAACTCAAAGTGGTCGGAATAAAACAAAAACAGTAAGGGTGGCATCGAAATTAGTAGACAACCCAACTGTTCTGAAGAAACTTCTTCAAAAAATGGGCGGAAGTGGTCGTACTCGCCGGTACGTGAGTTCACGCTCTCACCGGAACCCTAGCTTCTGACAGCGCGTAAGGGCGCGTGAGGAGGCTGTTGCCGAAGAGTTTTACTGGGGTTTGGTCGCCGGACAATGACGGATCTTGTGGTAGTGTTAGATTTTGCACAACACTAATAGAGAGCGAGATGACGCACAACCTTGAAAAGTCGCTGAAAAATTGAGGCACGGTGACTTCTGGCTCTGTATTCTAGTTCCCAGATGTGTCTCACCACCACTGCTCTGATACCATGTGAGAAAGCACGGGAGAAAATATATTATTGATATGTTAACTATAATACAAGTACCCCTATTTATAACAATACACAATACCTACACTACTTATATTCCATGTAGAACTATGCTTACTTACACAACAGCTAACTAACTAACACCTATAATACAAAATGTTCTAAACAGTAAATTTCAATGAACAGGGAAAGAGATCACATTGCATTACTCATGGACTTACACGTTGTAGTAAATACTAACTATTCGAGTGTAAATGAGAACCTACTAAAGTTCAACACCACTAACATGTGGCATGTGCACTTTAGCACCTTAATACATCTAAAGCACATTTACTGCCTTGAAGTCACGTAGTTTTACAATGAAATTGCATCATGTTAGGGTTTAAGAGAGATGATTAGTGTCTGGTTGCCAGAGGTATTACATGATTCTTTGCTTAACTAAGGTTATGCCAGTGTAGTTAGTGTTTGAGAAAAGAAGAGAAGACAAGCTGTCCTTCGTTGGTAAAACACAAAAGGAAAGAAGTGTTCTTAAGCACTTCTAGTACCACTTGATATTAATACTTGGACGGAATTTTTGGATGATTGGTAAAATTTGATTACATACTATATATAGTCGAAGATGTGCATTAGGCACTTGGGCCTTGGGCTTAAAAGGTAGCCCAAAAATATTTTACTTCAGCTATCTTATTAGTTTTTATTTTAATATTTTTTATTAGTTATTCAACAAGAACACAAAGTCAATATTTTAGAGTAGAGAAGAGAATGATAGTCTGATCGTAATCATTTCATTTGGAGGTATAAACAGGTTTATAATACATTATACCTTAAACAAGTTAGAGAATGTATGTTAACAATAAACATGACCAATGAAAATACACTTAAATAACAACCATCTAATTTAAAATTCAAATAATAATAATTAAAAAAATATTTAATTTTGCGCCAACTTTAGGCCCAATGCTCAAGGCCCAATACCCCAAGTGCCCATCATTGATTGTATAAATTATATAGTCAATTTTGACTTCCCTTCCAAAATTTTCCTCAAAGAATGTTATTTCAAGAGGTACAAGAAGTGTTCAACAACACTTGTTTTCTTTTGTATTGTACCGAGGGACAACTTGTCTTGTCTTCCCAATCACTAACTACATTAGCATATCCCAGTGATTGATGTAGTTATTTATGATTTATACATATAGTAGTTGTATTTGAGCCCACTACTTGTATAAAAATTTTAAGATCTTGTCAAATTAATAGGAAGGATAATTTTCTATTAAACCGCATTTGTTTACTGACAAGATGAAAAAATTTATACAAATAAATAATACTAACTTCATAATGTATTTCACATGATCTTTGCACCATATTATGACCTTGTGCTACCTCCTAAATTCATAAGCATTTATAAAATTTTGTATTCCAAACTTTAATTGAAGCAACATCATTTAATGTGTTTGTATTGGTTAAGATTCAATCAAGTTCTCAACATTAACTTCTAAGTTCTGAATCCGAACTCTGTTTCTACATTAAGAGTAATTTTGCACTCGTCGTATTTTTCTAAAGTACTACCGTTTCGAATACTTGCAAATTATCACAACTATAACTTGTTTTTACCTTTAAAGTTTAAATCTTTCGCAATGCTAAGCAATAAAAAAGATAAGGTATCCGTGATAGTGATAAATCAAAACTGCCTTAGACTGGTAGCACTTGTAGTGCTCATTATCATATCTCTTGACTGTCCTCGAATCAATGGGTCAGCAAAGTTGTCTTAAACCTAACATAATCAATCATAATAATCCATATGAAATCAATTGTTTTATGTACTCTCAAAATAATATATCTACATTTTCTATTGTAAAGCTTGCTAAATGTCTTAGACATAGTTACTTCACGGTTACGATGCAAGTGGACAATTGGCATCGGTTGTGGATACAACTCTATATCCAGCAATAGATTTCACAGTCATTCTACATTCATTCTAAGTTCAATCTCGCCACAGGAGTATGTGTGCCAAAATAAATTACACTTGCCTTTTGACTAAATCCTTAGATAGCTACTCTACCACCGAAGGTTTGTAGCAAACCAACTTTATTGTGCTTTCTTCTACCCACTTACACGGTTACACCCAATAGGTTTAGTAACAGGAGATAGACTCATCATTCGTATCTTCTTTGTAGAAAGCAGAGTCATTGTCTCACTATGAGTCATAGGATCTTTTCCTAATTCAAGCTGATAGGTATTTGATTTAATACTTCATCTCTGCTTGCATTAACGAAGAAACACAAACAAATGTAAAACTTCCTCCATTATTATCAATTATCCTGCCGTAAGCTACACTTGGCAATAGATAACAAAAATAATGGATCAAAAGAGGAAACGCAATGAAGCATTCATGATCTCCATTCCAAATAAACCTTAAAGTTTAGAAGGGCAAGTAATCTTCTAAGAGCAGAAATTGGGGCATTGATCCTCCCGAACAAGTACTTAGCAAGATTGCAATTTTTTAGCAGCATTAGTTGCGGAAAACAGGACTCACAATTGAAAACTACCGATCAGGGCAAGTGCGACAGAAAAAGGTACCCTGAGACAGCTGGCAGCAAGTGCGCGCCTCCATTTGGATGTGTGATGTCAGACGGCTAGCTGCGACCGCGCTGTGAAGCGGTAGCAGCGATTGGGTGCAACCCAGTACCCCATTAGTCCTGAAAATTAAAATTAATTCATGAATAAAAAAGTAAATTTAGTTAAGTGAAATGTAAAAGATAATCGAGAAACGGAAAGGAACCTTGTGAGTATGGTGGAAAGAGAACGGCGAGACTGAAGGCGCTGGCCGAGAAGGGATTGTACACTTGGAGAGGAATTGACTGTTGATGGTCTACTGCTAGAGAGAAGAGTCCTCGAAAACGATATGCAGCGCCTTGCCATGTTTTTTGCTCGTCTATTGTATCCACAGGATGCGTGGGACGGTGAGATTCAGGGTTTAAGGGACTAACTAGGAATAACAATATTTCGCTTCGGGCTGTGGGCTTGTTCTAAATATGTAATGGACTTTGGAGGAAATTTTCGGAATTTGGGCTTCTTGCGAGGGAAGGGAGGGAGAATTGCACAAATAGGATACTTATTGTTATAAAATAAAGACTTTAAAGTATGTTCATAGTCAGCAGTGGAAGAGGGCGTAGCTTTGATTGTTCAAGTTGCCCTCTCATGGTTGAATGTGAAAAAGAATTGCTTTTGTTTAGCAACACTCTTAAAAAAATCGAAGACAAGTAAAGAGAGAGATTTATTATTCAACTTCAAGTTCATGTACATAATAAACTAAAATCTCCTCTATTTATATAAGAAAGAAAGCTGCTGTGTAAGCTGCTACTGCAAGCTGCTGTGTAAGTTGCTTGTAAGCTGCTACTGCAAGCTGTTGTGTAAGCTGCTTGTAAGTTGTTTGTAAGCTCTTACTGCAAGCTGCTGTGGATAATCTTCTACCGGGGATAATATTTATCCATAACGGAGTACTAAATGAACATCCATAATATAATATATATTTATAAAACTCCCCCTTGGATGTTTATTAAAGGATAATGTGCCTCATTAAAAACCTTATAAGGAAAACCCCGTGGGAAAAAAACCTTAGTAAGGAAAAAAGAGCGCATCGCGTATTTTACTCCCCCTGATGAAAACCTTGTTTCAAATATTTCAGTCTCCGCATTCCAATCTTGTATACCATCTTCTCAAAAGTTGAATTTGTGGAGAATATTATCCACCACTATTTCAGATCGATTTAAATTAATCTCATCAAACCAAGAAGCTGTTGCAAGTCATTTCATTGAGTTGCTTGCGACCTGCCTGCATCAGCTGCTTGTAGAAAACTTCAATGGAGTACTAAATGGATAATCTTCTTTAGGAAGATTATCTACAGCGGAGTAACAAATGGACATCCACTATAATATTTTTATAACACTCCCCGTTGGATGTTCATTATTATGTGCCTCGTTAAAACCTTACTAGGAAAAACCCCGTGGGAAAAAAATCCTAGTCAAGGAAAAAGAGTACACTAATAATATACATTGCAAGCTGCCTCATTAAAAGCCTTACCAGGAAAAATCCAGTGGGAAAAAACCTGAGCATGGGAAAAAGAGTACATTGCAGAGACTTGGGTGTATCAGGACCAATGAGTTCATCATCCTCTTCTGGAGGTAAGAACGGATCCTTAATCCATGTAGGAGAAGAACTATATCTTGCTAGTAAATTAATAGAAAATGCTTTGTCAGGCCTTGTAGCATTAGTAAGATAAATTAGTGCACCAATTGCACTGAGATAGGGTACTTCTGGACCAAGGAGTTCCTCATCCTCTTCTGGAGGTCGGAACAAATCCTTATCCACTTCAAGTGATTGAACAACCATTGGTGTACTAAATGGGTGCGGTTTGTCCATGTAAAAGCGTTTTAAGACCCTTTCTGTATAGGCAGATTGATGGAAAAAGATTTTGTCCGCTAAATGTTCAATTTGCAGACCAAGACAAAGTTTTGTCTTTTCAAGATCTTTCATCTCAAATTCTTTCTTAAGATATTCAATTGCCTTTTTGGAGCTCTTCTGGAGTTCCAACAAGGTTTATGCCATCAACATAAATAGCAAGTATATCAAATTCTGAATACATGGACAAATATCAATATATGTAACTTTCTTTCAGCAAATATTCACTGAGGCGATAAAACCACATACGCCCAGATTGCTTTAAACCGTACAAAGATCTTTATAATAAATGATCGAGTACATTTTCTGAGACTTTTAATTATATGCTTCAAGCATTTTAAATCCTTCAGGGATCTTCATATAGACTTAATCAAATGAGTCATATAGGTTATGCCTTGCATTTAAATGGAATGACATCTCTAGGTGTCTGGACTACAGGTCCGATCCTCACAAGCTTTTACAATATTGTGCACCATATTGTATCAAATATATCGTAGACGATCATTTTGTATCGGTTGCTAAGCGACATAACTTGTTGAGATCTCATCACTTTCTTTATTTTCAGGTAACTGAACTTCTTCGGGAGTTTCATGAAATGTTATGTCGTGGACTCTTCTAGAGCTTATATGTTCTTTCAGACCCTTGTATTTAGAAATTCTTAGCAGTTCGTGAGTATCGTGACACCAGTCTCGGGTAGAGGCTTATATTGACTACTCCGTGTTTTATTCAGTTTCTACAATTAAGACTTCCGCTATTAATTAGTTTTGTTGTTTTATATTGTTGTCATAAATTGTTAAAAAGATTTGTTTATTAATGGAAAAGTAATCAAAATGGCTTGCCTAGCTACTACGAGTAGGCGCCATCACGACTCCCGAGGGTGGAAAATCCGGGTCGTGACAGAAAACAATCTAGGGTTATGAGCTATCTAACATTCCTGTTGTATTCTTCAATTGAATTGACTAACTAATTCGTCTAGTTTATTGGTTGACAGAGTTAATATTGCTTATAAGAATCTGTCGAATTCTTAATCGCCTATTCAAGTTAACCTAACGCCTATATGTCTATGGAATTAGAACTAAAAATTCCTGTATATCAACCAAGCAAGGCAATTAGATATATGTATATCCTAACCGCGTGTGACGACCCGGCCGGTCGTCTTAATAATTTATGCCCCGATCCCCCATTAACTGCTTCCCCTAAGTTCTTTTCTGCTATTTTGGTTTGCCGGGACGTTCGGTGTTGAGTTTTGGAGACTTTTGGGACACTTAGTCCCTAAATGAGAGCTTAAGTGTGGAAAAGTGGTCCGTAGTCAGAACAGTGTGAAGACGACCTCGGAATGGAAATCCGGTGGTCCCGTTAGCTCCATTAGGCGATTTCGGGGTTGGGAGCGTGTTCGGAATGTATTTTGGAAGTCCGTAGCTCATTTAGGCTTGAAATGCCGAAGGTTGAATTTTTTAAGTTTCCGGTCCAATAGTGAATTTTTTATCCAAGGGCCGGAATGGAATTCCGGAAGTTGCAGTAGCTCCGTCGTGTCATTTGGGATGTGTGTGCAAAATTTCAGGACATTCGGACGTGTTTTGGTTGGGTTTTTGATCGAGAATGTATTTTGATGGAATTTGAAGTTCTTAGGCTCAAATCCTTGAATTAATCGAGTTTTCGACGTTGTTTTAGGTGGTTTAAGGATTGGTACAAGTTTGAATGAGGTAATAGGTGTTATTGGTGCTATTGGTTGAGGTCCCGGGGGCCTCGGGATGATTTCGGGTGGTTAACCGAAGAATTTTGAAGTGTGCAACAGCTGATTTCTTGCTGCTTCTGGTATTTCCGCATCTGTGGCTTGGGAACCGCAGATGCAGTGCCGCAAAAGCGGCTAGACAGCCGCAGAAGCGGCTATTGCCCTTTCCCTCAGAAACCGCAGAAGCGGTTCTTCTCCCGCATAGGCGGAGCCGCAGAAGTGAAGCCCAGTGGCCCCCTAGTCTCCGCAGAAGCGGATTGTCCCTCGCAGATGCGTCTCCGCACCTACGGCTTATTTATCGCATATGCGGTCCTGGCCATTTAATTGAAGACTGCAGAAGCGGCTTGTTTCCGCATAAACGGGACCGCAGAAGCGGTCCTTTGTCCGCAGAAGCGGAAATGCCTTTTCTGATATAGAAAATTCGAGGGTTTGATTTCATAAGTTAGAAAAATCACATTGAGCTCGGGTAAGGGCGATTTTCAGAGGGTTTTGAAGAGAAGACTATTGGGTAACGTTCCTTTAATCCCTTCTAGTTATATTTCATCATTTTGTAGTTAAATCCATCATTAAAATTCGAATTTGGGATCAAAACTGGAAGAAATTGGGTAAAACTTCATAGGCTAAACCATTGAGTTTTGAGTGAGCATTTGACCTCCGATTTGGGAAATTTTTATATGGTTAGACTCGTGAGAGTACGAGGGTTCTGAAAATGTGAAAATTATTCGATTCTGAGGCGTTGGTCTAAAGGGCATTTTGGTCATTTCACCTAATTTCACGCTGTAGCTTTGAATTAAATAGCAAAACCGGTTGTTTGCGATGTTATTTACAATGTGAAATTGAATTGAATAGATTTGGGCCATTTGGAGTCGGATACTCGTGGCAAGGGCGTGATTTCTAGTTGATTTTGAGCTAGTTCGAGGTAAGTGGCTTGTCTAACCTTGTGTGGGGGACCTCTTCCCCTTAGGACATGATATTTGATATTTGAAAGCCTCGTACGTGAGGTGATGAGCGCGTACTTGAGCTAATTGTTGGAAATCCGTTTTTACTTGAAGTATTTAAATTGAGTTTTTTTTTCTTGCTTACCTGTTTATTTTGAATTGTAAGTTTGTCCTATGCTAGTTTAGAGAAGCATGTTTAGTTGACTTACTTGCTTAAGTGCTTAAACTGTCTTGTTGTATTCCGTGGAGCATGTTAGACTAGTATTTCTATTACTTGTTCTGAGTATAGCAATTATCCTAATGTGTTGGGCTGTTATTGTGTGTTTCAAACTGGGACTACGGGACGGCATCCCGGGAGATTCCCCTGTACTTGTTATGTTCTGGATTGAGGTGCGGGATACAAGAGATCCCCGGCACATATAAAATGTAAGATTTGAGGATGCCAAGAGATCCTCGGGATACCAAGAGATCCCTCGTGTGAATGATGAGGATACCAAAAGATCCTCGGGATACCAAGAGATCCCTCGTGTGAATGATGAGGATATCAAGAGATCCTCGGGATACCAAGAGATCCCTAGTGTATATGATGAGGATGCCAAGAGATCATCGGGATACCAAGAGATCCCCGGCTATTACTTCCTGTTGTGAGCAGTATTCCTTATATTGTTTGTTTCTGCTTCCTATTACTGTTTCCCTTATTTATCCTGTTTAGATTCTTGTTGTAGACTTTATCTATATTGTTTCCCTTAACCTATTATATATTGTGACTTACCTCAGTAGGGCCCTGACCATTCCTCGTCACTACCCAACCGAGGTTAGGCTTGGCACTTACTGAGTACCGCTGTGGTGTACTCATGCCCTTC